GCGGTGGCCCGACAGCCGCTGTGTCCAGGGAGGTGGGCACGGAGCCGGCCTGGTCATCCAGCCCCACCCCCCAGGCCTGGGGAGCTTGGCCTGAGACTTGTGGGGAGACAGGGACGGGGACAGGAGGGCGAAGGGCCCCTCGGGAGCCAGACCTGCCTCTGAACCCGCCTCAGGCTCTTCCTGTGAACGCGGACCCTGCGAGGAGCCAGGAGGCGGGACTGAGCCTGGCCTGAGGCCAGAGCCCAGGCAGCACCATCCACTGCCCCCGAGACCCGAGCCTCGGAGAGAGGTCTCCGTGGAGCAGGACGGGGTGAGGGAGAGGCTGTCCAGGCGGGAGGGACGCTCAGAACACAGAGGAGGGAGGCAGCACAGCTCGGAGGCCCCGAGGGCAGGAGCCAGGGCGCGTCCTGCTGGCGAGAAGGGCCCGGCGCCCCCACCTCCACCCCCAGCAAGGACAGGACGGAGACACAGAGTTCGCTCAGGGCGCACCCAGCTAAGGGAAGACCCCACGAAGGGAATATACTGCCAAGGGCAGAAGGGAATTTATAAAATACAGGCCTTCTTTTAACAACAACAAAAGCCACCAGGCAGATCGGTTTCACACCAACCACTGGAAACAGCCGAAGACACACCCGTTCGGCGGAGCTGCAGTCGGGACCACGACCAGGATGCGCGAGAAATGCCCCCATTGGTTGAGTCACAGCCCGGAGAACGAGGGGCAGGGCCGGCTCCCACCCACCAGCCATCACGGGGGCAAACCACGCACAGCTCGCTGCGCTGGGGGGGCCGTCCGCAAGGACCAACCACGGCCCAGGGGCTGCAGACGCAGGGACGCGTCCTGGCTCTTCCGAGACCACGGCAGCACGAGTCCCAGGGAAAACACGTCCCAACATTCAGAAAACCCCTCGACTGCCACAGGGTGAACCCACAGGTCGCGCACACAGCCTGGGGCGGACGCAAGCCTGGTGCGGGCTGAGGGAAGAGTCCTCGCCTCCGATGGGGCGAAGCGTGTGAGCCTGACCTCCACCCTGCACAGGCGTGGGCTGGTGCTGACTCTGTGCAGAGCTGCAGAAAAGCTGTGTGTGAGCCCTGGCCGGTGTGGTTCAGTGGATAGAGCATCGGCCTGCGGACTGAAGGGTCCCGGGTTCAATTCCCGGTCAGGGCACAGGCCTGGGTTGCAGGCTCGGTCCCCAGTGTGGGGCGTGCAGGAGGCAGCCGATCCATGAATCTCATCATTGATGTTTCTCTCTCTCTCTTCCTCTCTGAAATCAATAATAATGTGGGGTTTTTTTAAATAAATCTTATCACCTGCATATGAGAATGAAAATGCACACCATGCACTGCTCTGAGGAGGGCTGGCAGGGACGATCGGGGAACGGCATAAAGACATGAACGCAAGTGTGGCCGGTATTAACAACGGGTAACTCGGAGTGAGAAGGAGCATGTTTTACTTTTTATTTTCTAGTAATTATGGGATTTGTCAAAATATTTTTAAGGCACATGCAGAATCGAAGGTGGTGTCAAACTGGAAGGGCCATGGACTGGCGGGGGGGACAGACCCCAACTGAGTGTGCCCCGTGTCAGGGTCTCCAGCTCATGGAGGCCTCAGGGATGCAGATAAAGATGCAAACCCGGCTGGACACGGGGAGGCGGAGTGGGGACCAGGGGGCCCCCCCGGGCGAGCAGAGGACCCGCAGGTTCCCGCTACCTGACACTGTGGGGACAGAGCAGGGCCCTGCCGGCCGTCTGGTCCGCGGGTGACCCCTCCAGTCACCTGCTAGGAGGACTGGCAGACGGGCCACCCACAGTCCTGCACACACTCCTGCTCACGTGCTCCCCTAGGCATTCCAGGGCTGTAGGAGCTTCCCAGCACTCCAGCCACACAGCTGAACCAGGGGGCTGGGGGCCGCGCCCATGGGATCTCGGGGGACGGCTCCTGCACTGCCTGAGCTCTGACCGCGCCCCTTCCTGGGATCTGGGGCCTCAGACAGCCTCTTTGGAATCCCCAGAATTTCATTATTTGTAAATATTTTAGTGCAAGCTCTTTGCAGAGAATGAAAATGTAGCCAGACTGTGTTCTGGGACAACGGAGGATGGTTCAGTGTCGGACTTTGGTTTTACGGGCGTGTGGGCCACGCAGACACGCTGGCGGCTGGCACAGGGCTGGGCGGCCTCACTGTCCCTGATGCTCAGACTGATGGGGTCTGGGTGCCGGCCGGCTGGAACTCCTCGGCCCAGCAGGCTCCGGGACAGACTGTTCGCATCCGAGGGACGAGAGAGGCAGCCCTGGCAGTTTCACAGGTGAAGGCTGTTCTCAGGGGTGTTTGATGTGGAGGGAACAGAGGGTCTGGGCTCTGTGCTCCCGAGACCCTGAGGGTTGGGGGGAGGGGGGGGCGTCTGAGACGCTCCTCAGACCTGGAGGGGGAAGGGGGGGTTACCGAGTCTCCGTTTCACTCTCTCGGCATCAGCCTCCCGGTTCCCAGGAGCCCTCACCTGCAGGGACTGCACAGTGCGGCCCGGGGCCTGAGGGCTCCTCAGAGCCTTTATCACCACGCGCTCCCGCCCGGCCCGGCTGCACCGCTGACTGCCAGGATCGGAAAACGACCTGCACAGCAGCAGCGAACCCTGGGCACCAAGTCCTGAGGCACGCG